CGATCGCACAGCGGTGACCAGGAGACAACATGATTATTTGATCACCTTAGTGAGGCTGCTGATGTGGCCCTTAATCGGTATCCTACTGCACAGCTGGTCTTTCTGGGGGACTTTAACGCCTGTCACCAATACTGGATGTTCCCATACCAGAAGACCGACCATGCTGGAAGAGAAGCGTGGAATTTTACCTTGACGCTAGGTCTTTCTCAGCTGGTAAAGGAAGCGACTAAGGTACCCGATGTAGACGGTTACATAGCCAATTGCTTGGACCTTCTGCTGACTACCGAACCAGAAAGGTAAGAAGTACAGGTAACCTTCCCTTTGGGTACATCTGACCACTGTCTGGTGAAATCTGTATCGTCATATTCTCCATCTGATTACGAGTCCCAAGGTGTTCGACGAATATGGCGGTACAAGTCAGAGGATTGTGATGAGATGCGACACTTTTTTGCATCCCATCCTTGGCCACAGGTCTGTTTCTCTTCTGCGGATTCGTGGAGCTGCGCGGATGCGATAACCGATGTGTTGCGTCAAGCTATGGAGTATTTTATCCCCTTCTCTGACGCTTCTACTGGTAGAAGATCCCGCCCATGGTTCAACGCTGAATGCGCTCAAGCTGAAATACGCAAGACCGCAAAGCTCCGGATATCAGCTTCAAGAAGAGAACTTTCAACCAGGCCGCTAAGTCCTACAAAAAAGCATTACGGAAAGCCAGTCTCGATCGCATTAAACATATTGGCGTAAAACTCTACCAGACCATCCGGCACTAGAGCTTTTTGGTCTCTTGCCAAAGCGGTCGAGACAAACTTCTGTCGGCCTTCACTGCCTTCGCTGGTAAAACCGGATGGCACACAAGCGCATGAGCCGTGGTAGCTCAGATGGTTAACGCTCGCTGTAAGTATAACAGAACGCGAGTAACCCGGGTTCGATCCCCGCCGGCACCAATGAAATTGTTAATTGCAATTTTAAGTGCTGATTTACCACGTGCTCGGCGGTGAAGGAAAACATCGTGAGGTAACCTGCATGTCTGAGGAATAAGAAAAAAAAATATTTCGAAGACATGTGAAGATCGCCAACACGCATTGGGGCAGCGCGGCGGACACTTCCTTGCCCTAAAACCCTCTCAGAAATGAGGGAGGCCTGTGCCCAGCAGTGGGACGTATATAGGCTGTAATTTTACTTTACTTTCACTTTACACTAGCGCATATGGCTAAAGACAAAGCGGACTTGTTCGCATCTCTATTTGCCTATAGTTCACATCTGGACAGTGGCAACAACATTCCACCTAAATTACCTCACTGCAGGACCACTATGTCAGATGTCCGTAACACAAATAAGGAGATTCTCAAAATCTTGGAGTTTCTAGACGTGAATAAAGCTACTGGACCAGATAAGTATACCAGCTATAGTTCTAAAGGCTTGTGCACCTGAGTTGTCTCCTGTGTTGACACGCTTGTTCCTCTCATTTAGGACTGGAATACTGCCAAAATCCTGGAAGCTGGCCAACGTGCAGCATATTCCAAAAAATGGCAGCAGTGCCGAACCTGCCAATTATTATCGGCCAATCTCAATTACCTCCATACTCTGCAAGATTATGGAGCGTATATTGAACGCCCGCTTAATGGCATACCTAGAACAGAATGACCTCCATGGTGACCACCAATACGGGTTTCGCCGAAATCGGTCAGGTGACCTAGCGTATGCCACACACGTATGGGGTGAGGCACTCGAGAACAGTGGGGAAGCACTTGCTGTTTCCATTAATGTCTCAAAGGCCTTTGACAGAGTTTGGCACGCTAGCCTTCTAGCTAAGCTTCCAGCGTACTCCTTATCCCCTGATCTGATTGACGGGTAATGGACTTCATGAGTGAACGGTCTCTCCGGGTCGTTGTCGATGGCTGCTCATCTGATCCAGTGACGACTAACGCCGGTGTTCCTCAGGGGTCTGTTCTCTCCATAACTCTCTTCCTGCTGCATATTAATGATTTGCTTATTTCCTATATCTATGGGTACGCAGACGAAAGCACAGTTGTGAAGAGATACCAACCAAGTTCTCAGGCCAGTCGGGATCAAATCCAGTCCGAAAGAGAAGCTATGGTAGAGCATGTGAATCTCACACTACAAGCAGTCTTCGAATGGGGCGATGCTAATCTTGTGAAATTCAACGCCTCCAAACACAAGCTAGTCTCTTTACTGTAAATACCTTGCCTCCTTCTTTCCGAAATGTGCCACTGGAATACACCGACTAATACGCCACCAGTTGCTGGGAGTTGAGATATACTCAAATCTGAACTTCGGACGGTTAATTGAGTCCAAGGCCAAAGCAGCTGCAAGGAAGCTAGGAGTCCTTGTAAAGGTGCAGCGATAATTCATGCCAGGATAGATGCTTACTTTATATAAAGCGCAAAGTCGGTCGTGCATGGAATATTGCTGCCATATATAAGCTGGTGCTGCAAAATGCCATTTAGCAGCTTTGGACTCAATGGAAAGGCGTGCTAATAGGCTTATTGGTGATCCGAATTTGGTTAAAACCAATCTTACAGGCCTCGAATACAACCGCAAAGTAGCCAGCCTTTCGGTTTTCTACAGGATGCATTTCGGAGAATGCGCGCAGAAATTGCATAATTTAATTCCTCCCTCTCCCTTCCACCATCGGACGACCAGACGTTCGACCAGTTTCCACCCTTTCGTTGTTGACTTACCACGCATTCGAACCAAACGGTTTGCTACGTCGTTCGTCATGCGTACATCAAAGGAGTGGAATAAGTTGCCAGCATCTGTCTTTCCATCCGATTATAATGTGGGTGTCTTCAAGGCAAGAGTGAATAGGTTTTTGTTAAGTCAGTGCGCTTTACCATCTTAAGCTACATCACCACTTACCATCAGGTGGGATTTTAGCGAGGTGCTGGCTTAAAATAATTTAAAAAAAAAACTTATGTATGTATACCTACGAAATACATTTATCTAACAACTAAATCTTCAAATAATGTGACAAAATATTTCGACAAAGTTCAAACTTAAACATATTTGAAATATTACTGAAAGATTTATGTTGACATCCAGGCGTTTTGATAGTTGCTGATAATCTTCATGTCGGTATATTATTTATTATAATTGCGCCTTTTCCGGGAGAGAGCAATTACTCCTTGACATATAAATTATACATAAGCCTTCTCAAGAATGTGCAAGCTCATATTGATCAAACTTAGTGAACGCGTGAGAATGAGCTCAGAACAGATAACGACCCAGTGGTAACGCCGCTCTACATAGCGCAGTGAAATTTCGTTACAGCGTTTTTAAATAGATTTTAGTTATTAGTAAGTCGCCAGAGCGTCTCCCTTTTTGGTTGTCATCTTACCTTGTTGGGTTGACATTTAATGAGAATTTAGCATCTCTTAATCATTATTTTCGCGATCATTAATTTTCGCATTTCATTTAACTACAATAATTATCTCTAAGGATTTTTGCAATTGTCTTTGGCTTAGGATTAAAAAATGTCTATGTTTTAATTCATTGTAATATGAAATATGAGCGAATAGCTTAATGACAAAAAATATTATAATGTATTATATCATCTGACTAAGCGTCAAATGTAGATGCCTGAATAATCACAAACTGTACCTTCAAAAATTGTTGGAGATAAAACGTTTTAATAGAGATTAAAAAACGTCAATTACTTATTTTATTAAACTATTTGGGACTTCTAGTTGCTAGGCTCAGCTTTTTATATAAATGACCTGTTCGCCCATAGACGCCTACACCGCGTAGGTTGCCAACAGTATCACATTACACGGCATCAGCTCCCGTAACAAAAGCTAAAATTGCCTTTAACGTGAACAAAGATTTAAATGAAAGCTCCATTTTCAATGTACACGTTAGGTAGGTACAGCTAACGCTGTTGGATGGGAATCACTTGAGCGTGTAGCAGCCATAATCCCCCTGAGTACGGCACGAGCTAATCGATCTTGACTATTCAACCTTTTACGCCAAACCGAAAGTTAAGAGGCGAAAATTTGAAGCTTATTTATATAAACTTGTTTCTATAGCACAATTGGAATGCGTAGGCTGATTACTATTATTTGCGTAATACAGAGAAGCTAAAAATAATAAAAATAGATAGTCCTTAAAATATTTTGTTATTATTACGCCCTTTTTTCCTCAAAACATTACAAGGATTCGGAAAAAGGAATTTTTCACCAACTGCGCAATAGCAAACGTTAATGTTAAGGTTAATGCTTTTTACGCATATTTGGGTATGTATGCAGGATTTTAATACCTTGCAGCATCCCAACGGCTGGATGGATTTTAATCAATCAGGTGTCTATCGATTCATTTAAAGTCTAAACCGTGCAATAGTTGTATGTTAGATTTTATTTTTATAGAACCAAAATGGCGGTAGAGGAAAAAAATAGCGTACAATAGATGTGACAAACAAACTTACAGTCCACTTGATGGTAAGTGGCCACAGTAATCCGTGGACACACGAACATCTGCTTCTGCTTCAAACTAAGAAGGCTACAGATGCGTTGTCACCTCTCAGGATTGAGATGGAATATCTCACAGCCTGTAATTATACTGGCTGTCTCTACCGTTCAGACGTAGCACTGTTTCGGTCGCAGAAATAGGTTAAGGGATTGTTCTTTCCAGATGGACTCCTAGGCAAAGAGTAGTTGTCCATTTAAAGATTACACAACATGGAAGTTGTTTAGGTAGAAACTCTACATTGTACTTGTGTAATGTGTAAAGCAGTCGGCTGTTTTTAATAATTTAAATATTTTCACTACCACGTTCTACCCGTGTTTTAATACCGAATTTTATAACACAACATAATCGCTTAAGACCTGACATTGGAACGTCATCGATGTGGAACTTATTCAATTCTTTCTAGTTTTTTGAAGTCAGTTTTTATTTTATTATTGTTCAGTTAAGTATATAATAGGTTTTAACCGGAATATTATATAAATTCAAGGGAAATAAACAATGGTTTCGCTTTGTTGCAGTAGGCGTTGTCGGCGGCGGCATGAGAGGCCGCCGGCGGCGAGAGGCGGCATGTTCCGCTGTACGGGAGGCTGGTTGCCGAGGAGCAGTTGGCGTCCATGAGCGCGCCTTCCGACATTCAGGTGAGCGCTAGAGCGCGCAACACCCGAGCTTTCTGCCGCTACCGTTACCCCCCTCAGGTAAATGACGCACGAGACGGTTTGTCAACACACACACCGTCCACTGCACCGGACCGTGCACTCACCGTAACTTCTTATAAGCCGCTGATGATAAGATTCTCGTGTGCAATTTATATTTTATTTGTTTTATTCCGTTTTTCAGTAGCTTTACGGGTGCACGGTCCGGTATAGTAAGCGGAGACTTTGGTACGGTAAACACTACTCAATTAATTAAACGAATTATGAATGTACATAAGTCAATACAGCGACTTGATTGGTTTGGCATACACTTTGTAATACTTGAACGACTTTTGAAAACAGTCTGCAACTGCTAGTGAAATAAATTGAATTGCAAACCACGACTGTCTGAGGGACGTGGAGGACAATAACCCGCCGAGAAACTAGCTTTGAAAATGTTGACTAATTGAGAGACAAGTAGCGAGGGGTATGACTAAAACATTCGCAAGATAATTTAAACGAATTTTGTATAAATAACATGTAGTAAAAATCCCCACTGATGTTCATAAAAAATTTTAACTCTAAAAACGGAGTTGGTCTATTGTTGTAATAAGAGCATCATTAGTAATGCGGTGTCCCACTCCGTATTATGCAAAAGCAAATAAATTAGTCCTCAAAGTCGTACTAACTGTCTACTACAATTCGCAGCTCGTTAACGGACTAGTGATGTATTCAGTATTGACTACAGGTTAATAGAAGTCGTAATCCAGTTAATTAATAAACGACCTTAGTTGAAATGCCCTGCGCGAAACTGTCGGGTTTCTTTTTTAATTGTACTTGCGGTTACAGAAACATTAGATACATTAGGTAGGTATTATACTGTATACAGTTAACAATAAGTATCTTGTAATTCCTTTAAAATGTTATTTTGCCGCCAACTCCTCGAGTATTGTTATTGTTAGGCAATTATGTTATTTACACTTTTTTTATAATATATTGATAGATTTAAATAAAACCGTCTCGTGTGTATCTCCACTTTTAGAGTTATAATCTTGTTTTTAAATCAGTATTGTTGTCTTCTGTTTTGCTATAGTTTTTTTAAGTTATAATGCTTTCTAAACATTTTGTAGATCCATCTCATTTTTATCTATTGTATAATTCAAAATTTTCACTGCATTCATATTTAAAATTATTTATCATTTGACTATAGCTTTTGATATGTCTGCTTCTAGTTATAGTGTAGTATACGTTTAGAATTTTTGCATTCACAAAGCTCACATTTTAAAACTATCATTACATTTTCACCATTTAGCGCTTTACATTGTTATGCTTGCGACTTTTTCAGTTCAATTCTTTTGTTTTGAGCCTAATCATTTCTTTTGTCTGTCTAGGCTATGCAAGCACGGATACCACATCACTTTCGGGATCCGTCGACAGCACCGTTAAGGAAACTCAGCGTGGATCTTATCAAGACATATAAACACATTAATGAGGTATGTTTAGAATATACCCATTATTATTTACTCTTACTATCTTAATGGTATTTTTAAAGTCTGTACTTAAAATATTTATTTTTCAATAAATTTCCTATTCTTACCCAAACACTACACATATTATACTAGTTTTATTAGAACTAGTTTAGTACGGATTTTATCGCGTTTAATTAACGACTGAAGTCTTCGATGTCTAATTGTCGCGACAACCACGGCTACCTTCAGTTTTAATTTTTGGATTTTAGTCCGAACGGAAACAGAACGCAGAAAGAACTTTATCTAAGTCTTCTAGTGGTATACTTGGGGTGGGATTTAAGTTTAATTATAGGCAGATGGCAGCACCCAGCCATCTTCTCTATTGAAATTAGGATGTTGAATGATGAATCATCCTTGTTAGGAATTAGTATTCTTTTGCGATGATTTGTGGTCTATTAAATCTGATGTAATAATGTCGGGGACCATACAGTACGTGTTTACAGATTATTGTAAGTATATGATTTTTAAGCAAACATTAATGTCATAGTATTCTTAAAGTCCTTACAAACGTCTGCTATGCATTATATATATTTTTAATTATGTTTCCTAAACAAATTCAAAACATTTAGTTTATTTTAAGGAACTTTCGCTTTGTTTACTAATCTTCTAATTATAAGCGAATGGCTAAGGGGCTACAATATAAAATGTCGTGGGTTCGAATCCGCCAATTGACTACCACTTCTAGCAAAAGCCAAAGTTAAATATAAATTAATTAGTAGTGTCAATATCATTACTAGTAACCTTCAAAATTTTGTCACATTTAAGTTAAAACTGGATTGATTAAAATAAGGAAAATTGTTACTTTTGTTACGAGGAAAAACTTCAATACCTACGTTAAAAATCGGACCATTAACTGTGCATTAATTCTTATAAATCTGCTATTTAATTGGTCCGTAAGGAGTCCTTTGATGTTGAACGTGTACCTATCTGTCTCGTAATATAACTATTATTATATTAATTACGGCTACGTCTTTCTAGCAGACGGTAATAGAAAATTACCATCTAACAAAGACCACCATCTGTTGAATATCATAAGATCGTTTAGACATTTCCTTTAGCCAACTCAAAGCCTTCCGCAGGAAAAGAAATTGCGATGACGCAGTCTCATACGTCGCCACTAAGAATGCAATTAATTTATTGTTATTTGAAGATTTGTTTTATAATTCGCATATACATGCACGTTGTGTTTTTCGATTTATCGAATACTTTCGAAGCTATTCACGAATATATTGTGTACGGTAACTGTTAATCGGCGTTGTTAGTGTTTACGTTTTAAAGCCACACGTGTCTTGCGACATACATAAAGTATTTGCTTACGCGTTAATTATGTCACGGAAATGTGCAAATATATTTCTTTCTCATAAGCTCATAACTTAAGCCACTTTTAATGTGATAATTTTAATTTTACCTACCTGTTTACTAAACAATAAAACTAATATCAACGCGGCCTTTTCCGACGCCCTGGGCTTTCCAATCCGTTCCAAGCAGTGCGGCCGGCGTGGGAGCGAAATTTATAGCAGCTTTAATAAAAAAAAGCTCAATGAACTTGTAAACTGTTCAATGAAATAGTGACCGAGTTACTGCGGCGTCGATTTTTAAAATGTAGTTCGTATGTACGATAGTGCAAAAAATAATTTAAGAAAAGTTCATAAATATTTTGTCATGATGGTTTTGATTTATTATTGAATCAAATCAATTTAGTGAACCATTTATCATTGGATAACATAGTAACTTTAAATACCTTTAGTGTATTTGTGAGGCATTGAATAATAATATTTGTTGCGTTAGAGTAAAAGACAGCTAAAAACTGCATATGCCATTAGTATCTTCGTGCCATTTCCCGTAGTTAGATCTAACAACGCCCAAGAGATGATGGATTTGCTTACAACACTACCACATGGCAAAGCAACGACTGGTTTATTTTAAACAGTAACGGGAGACAATATTTCCACCTTGCCTTTCATAATTTTATGCCCTATTACTTAACAGTTTGCCTGTCCGCGAAAAAGACACGATTGTTGAACGATCAAAATCATATATATGATTCATGGTATAGGGAAAGGTTTTTTTATATTATTTATTAATCTGCAGCAGTATTGTATTGTTTATTGGGTTATAAAAAGCTATTATGAATGTCAAAATCTACAACTGGTTCGAAAAGTGAGACAAATAAAAACCAGCAAAAAAGTCTGGTGTAATTTTTGCCCAGTTTTATATCAAAGCGATCATTCATCATAACATTAAAAATGAGTTGTGCTATGTATGATCCTATAAAATTAATAGAATTCAATACAGTTTAGGTAATCCTCCATAACACGGGGGAGGTCGATAATCAGCAGTGGACTTTTACGGGCTGTTGATGATGACGATTATAATGATGATAGGTATTTGATGGTGATGGTAATGAAAGTATTATTTTTATTCATCTCATTTTGAATTCTATTTACACTTTATTCAAGTTCCTGGTTTATGACATCGGCACGTGTAAGTTATGACCTTTAATCGGATTTCATTGCAATACAAGCTCTGCGTAGGTTGTTATAAACGTGTCATGGTTTTCCACGTTAAAATGCTTCATTTTATGTATAGGAAACAGCATTGCTGATATTAAAAATATTTTAATAATAATGATATTAATAATAATAAATATTATTAATATCATTGTTATTATAATAAAATGTCGAAATCACTTTTGTCGCATAATACTAAGCTTCATACTTCAACTTTTACCCTTCAAACCCGAATACAGCTGATTTTAATTCGTAAGATTTATTAAAAAATACAAATATTTATGGTATAACCTCTTTATAAACATTGGAAACTGAGCATTAATTACCATTTGAATTATTCAAAATGCCACACTTTGCTATACTGCAATAATAATGACGAACTTCGACAAATAGAATGGAATGATTTGGTTCGATATAGACTTTCAATAAGTATTATGCAATATCATAATGCTTATTGAAAGTCATGTTTTATTTACCACACAACGCGTACCGCCGTATACAAAAGTCGAAGCAATTAATCTTTATGTCTAGAGGACACGTGGAGTCGTCCTTCCGAAAGCTCTCCGTTTATTTTTGAACATTTATTAATATATTCTATTTGCATTCGGGGATGGTCGTTGCCCTACATGGTGCTACGTTTATGCGGCATACTGTCAGTCGTTAAGCGTATAGTTAATATCAAATATAACTTGTTTTGTGTTATATTTAAATAGGTTGTGATTTATTTAGTCTTGACCGCCACAAGGAAACAATATTATGCTAACGGTAACTTTAACTAATAAAAAAACTGATATGGTATGTTAGTAAACTATTTTAGATAATTTTCGGGTTTGTGGTCAAAACAGGAAGTTGCCGCCAAAACATGAGTTACTGCTATTTCAGGAGTTGTTAACATACAAAGCAATCGCAAGAGTAGCTTCGAATACATAAATATTGTTTGTACCTATTAAACAGTCTGTACGTTTGAAGGCCAATTTACTAGTAAAGAGGTATTACATCTTAATTCTCAAAGATGAAAACGCTTCCGAAGTTTAATTCTTAGTCGAGGATAAATGTAGGTGTCTATGTGGCGTAGTATCCACTTACCATCAGGTATGCTGTAAGCTCGCTTTTCATCCTTATTTCTATAAAAAACAAACAGGTTTAACCTGACATTTTCGACAATAATAATCAAAGTCGAATTGCAACGTCTGGAATTGCGATCGCTTATCGCTTGCTAAGAGTGGCTTTTATGGCTAATCTCTGCTACAACGATAAGGCTCACCTCATTATTATAGACCATCACAATTCTAAAAATAAGCCTCCCCAAGGAATGCCACAAATCATGGTCCTGAGCCATCCTTACTACCCTTATTTCCTGCATCTCTTACCAAGTTGTCACTCAATCTAGTGTGGGTCGCCCTAAATTTAACTAGCCAGTAGGAGATTTCTCTCGGGAATCTTTCCGTCTACCCTACAGCGACTAATGCAGTTTATTCTGCAAAAAGGCCTCAGATGCGTAGTTCCCTCTGAGGAGAACATAGAAGTACTAGTCCTATTATATTTATTTTAAAATTGAAGATTTGTACCCCAAATATTTTTAATAAAGTAACATTAATCTCTGCGATGTTAGTTGAACTGTTGATGTTTAATTCACCATTTATTCTTTATTTCTTACCTGCCAAGGTAGCTAGTAGTACATTGATTATTACTGCTTTTGCGGTTTCGTTGACCGCGTGATCGGTTTCAAATGACCCCGATTGCGTCACGTACTCCGCATTCCGCTGACGGAAAATAGATTCTAGCGAATTGCAAATCGCTTGTCCGCGCGTTATTAAATACAGAGCTACTGCAAATCTTAGTTGCGAATAAGAATGAGATATTCTGGTGTAAAGTCTTTGGGTATTATGAAGTGACGCAACGTATGCCCGAACTAGACGCATTAGGCGACAATGACTAAGCCAACGGTAGAATTTCGCAACGGACCGGTCGATGCCAGTGTGATTCGAGTCAAGGAGACGCCTCAGATCAATATTTATAGCTGGGTTGTCGAGTTCGGATCGACCTCTTTTTTATCCCTATCGTAAGAAATTTTATCTCGTGATTTACGACCTCATTATTGTTTCATTGCATCTTGCGGCATCCGCTATATGGTATATAACTCGTATGTATCCGCACAGGGGATAGCGAATATTCAGTCTACGTGCTGTTCGTACATTGGTTACGTATTACGTGCGTGTAATGTTTGTTTCAGGTATATTACATGTGTTCTTTTATTATATACCAATTTCTTATAGTTTATTGCCAGAGTCGAATACTTTCAACATACTTCATGGTAATGAATTTGACAGAAACAGTTTGAGAGATGTTATTAAACTTATTGGTATGTTTCGGCAGCGGATTAGCAAGTTTGTAATTGTTTGCACAAAATTTATATTTAGATGAGAAATATTTTTATACAA